TCCGTACCCACTGTATATATATATATATATATATATATATATATATATAAATAAATTTTCAGTTTTAGTATTTTGTTATTTTAGTAATTTTAAGTCATTTTAGTAACTTCCTTCACCTTATTTTAGTTGACAAGACCACATTTCTAATTTTCTGTTTAGGTTTTTTAAGTTCAAGATTTTCATCTATTTATATTTTATTTCAATTAACAAAAATCTTTTTTTTTTGTATTTTTAGTTAACAATAACAATATTTGTTGGCACAAGGTCTACAGTATATCTCAGTAAGTAGATTTTATGTCAAAATTTCTCTATGTAGTATATGTAATGTATGTGATTGGTTGGTTTCAAATGCCTTGTTCAAAACCCTGTTGTATCTTAAAGGGGTCATAGGATGCCCATTTTCCACAAGTTGATATGATTCTTTAGGGTCTTAATGAAAAGTCTGTAACATAGTTTGGTTAAAATTTCTCAATGGTAGTGTAAAAAAAGGGTGGTTGTGTACACACACTGCCAACACACATTTCAGTTAAAAAAACTTGTAAAAGTGCATGTAGCATCCTATGACCCCTTTAATAATTTATGTGAATCAATCAATAATCATTATATTTTTGTAATAGCTGTTGGGTAAACAAGTGAACGCCACACACAATAAAATACACTGGCCTACATGCCAGTTATTTTATATGTTTAATGAATCTCAAGTTGTCAATGTGTTTTAGATGCTGTAATTTTGTTGAATGTATTAATAATAACAATTTAATAATGACAATAGCAACAATTTTGGCTTTTCAATGGCTGTATCCATTGTGTCTGGGCAATAATTTGTGCCTACTGAGAATCTGACTTACAAAAATGAACCTACTCTGAAAAATATATTTACTGGAGTAAAAACACAACTGTGACAACTAGCTCCAGTCTCCCCATGTCTAAATGGTCATCTCTCTGTTTGTGGTCTACATTTCTACCACATCGTCTTTGCTGTGATACTTCAATCAAGAATCTGAGGGTAAAGAGCAGATAATAAAAAAAGAACTCACAGAGCTCTTCTCTGTCTAGAGACTGTGCTCCTCCTCCAAAAAGACCCTTAAAGAATCCTCTGTTAGGAGCTTCAGGCGTCTCCACTGGAGTAAACAGCTCACCTAGCATCTCCTGTTACACAATCCAATCATCATCATTATCGACATCTTCAACATCATCATAAATACTGTGCAACAGAAGAGTCTAGAGAAGAACAGTTCATGAATATGTTTTGCTCACCTGTAAGTTCTCGCAGACCTCCTGGCTGTAGGTGATCCTCTGGATCTCAGTAGGGGAGGTCAGGTACAAGGCCTGGCCGAGATTGGTGAAGCAGAACGTTCTCGCTATCCGCATATCTGTCAGGGGTAGGTAATTTACATCCAGCAGTGGTCTCAACCCTGGCAGACTGAAACAGCATGACACAGAGAGACATTTCTTCAGCTCTGGGATTTCTCACCTTCTCTATTATTCAAGAACTGCAATGCTGAGACTGTGGCAGTGCTTATTTTGTCCTTCAAAATGCTCCATTAAATTACAGGGAACAAACATTAAGGACATTTGTAGATGATATCTGCAATAATACCCCCCCAAGGTCTTCATGTTTGATGGTTAACTGTGACCTTCCTACTGACAAACACATACAGATGTTTGTCTGCCTTTCTCTCCTCTGAAGATTTATAAGCCAAAGCGATTCAGAGAGCAATACAGTGATTAGATCTGTGTTGCAATAGCTACAGGCCCCCTGGCTCTGACTTTGCTGAACAGTGGAGCAAGATGACAATATTGTATACTAAAAATAGCCTTATTTCCAAATTTTTCTGTATGTGCTGCAGTATATCAATATCAGGCTACAAACAATTCCTCACATCAGTGAAACAATCACCAGGCAGTGTGCGGATAAACAAATCTTTAAAAGCTGACTGAGTAAAAGCAGTCTTGAATAGTGTAGCATTTAATATACTGTATGTTATTTAATATAAATTATTTACACTACAGGTGCATCTCAATAAATTAGAATGTCATGGAAAAGTTAATATATTTCAGTAATTCAACTCAAATTGTGAAACTCGTGTATTAAATAAATTCAATGCACACAGACTGAAGTAGTTTAAGTCTTTGGTTCTTTTAATTGTGATGATTTTGGCTCACATTTAACAAAAACCCACCAATTCACTATCTCAACAAATTAGAATACTTCATAAGACCAATAAAAAAAACATTTTTAGTAAATTGTTGGCCTTCTGGAAAGTATGTTCATTTACTGTACATGTACTCAATACTTGGTAGGGGCTCCTTTTGCTTTAATTACTGCCTCAATTCGGCGTGGCATGGAGGTGATCAGTTTGTGGCACTGCTGAGGTGGTATGGAAGCCCAGGTTTCTTTGACAGTGCTAATTTATTGAGATGCACCTGTATGTTTAAAATGACATTACAGTGCTCTGTCAGTTAATAAATGCTGTTCTTTTGAAAATGATCAGTTTCCACAAAAATATTGATCTGTTTTCAATATTGACAATAAGAAACATTTCTTGAGGCCTAAATCAGCATATTAGAATGACATCTGAAGGATCACGTGACACTGAAGACTCACAAGAATCAATTACAGTACATTTTAAAATATATTAGAATAGAAACATTTATTTTACACTGTAATAATATTTCACAACTTCACTGATTGTACTTTATTTTTTTAAATAAATAAATGAAGCCTGGTTGAGCATTAAGTGACATCTTTCAGAAACATTAAAAATAGTACCAACCTCAAACTTTTGAAAGGTAGTGTATGTATAATATTTTTTAAAAATAAAATGAAAAAGTTTCCCATGTTTAGTCATGCAGCTTGCTAATTTGATATCTAATAGTGTAAAAAAATATATATAAACATAACATTATATAAAAATGTTATACCCTATAATAATAATAATACCTCTGTTTTCCCTTTCTTAATCATGGTAGATTAATAGATTTTTAAGTATTTACACATTCCAACACACAGTCCCAAATTAATGCATTTTAATCAACCCTCATCTGGCTTATGTTGAAGGGCATCTTCTCTTACCTGAGGGTCATGATGTGTCCATTGGCACAGAAGCAGGCCACACAAATGCCAGTGTTCATCTGTACCACATCTGCCTGCAGCACAAAAGATGTTTCGGTGATGTTGTGTTTAAATACACAGGTCTGAGAGGGCAGGGATATGACTTTGGCCTGTTTCTCAGAGCACACCACAGCATACTGGTTTTCATTCAGTTCCTGGGATGTGGATGGGGACACAGACACCGGCCGTCTCTTACGGGCCTTGTCCCGCTCCTCTCCGTTGGCCGGGGCGTTGGGTTCGTACCATGGCTCAAAAGCAGAAGGGAGGAGAGACCCTGTAGAATCTAGGAAAGCCATCCGGAGGATGCTACCCTTCAACCTGACAAGAGTACCTGTACAGAGAGGGTTGACATGTCAGAGTCAAACAAACCAATCTTCAGATTAACGGAATAGTTGACCCAAAAATTTAAATTTGCTGAAATTTTCATCCAAGATGCAGATGAGTTTGTTTCTTCATCAGAACAGATTTGGAGAAATGTAGCATAACATCACTTTCTCACCAATGTATCCTGTGCAGTGAATGGGTGCTGTCAGAATAAGGGTTCAAACAGCTGATAAAATCATCACTAAAATAATCCACAAGTAAACCACATGACTCCAGCCCAATAATGAATGTCTTGTGAAGTGAAAAGCTGTGTGTTTCTAAGAAACATATTGTTATTTGATGGACTGAAGTAGTGTGGATTACTTGTGTATTATTTTGATGTTTTTATCAGCTGTTTGGACTCTCATTCTGATGGCACCCATTTACTGCAGCGGATCCATTGGTGAGAAAGTGATGTAATGTTAAATTTCTCCAAACCTGTTCCGATGAAGGAACAAACTCTACATCTTGGTTGGGCTTAGGTTGAGTACATTTTTAGCAAATTTTCATTTTTCAATAGTTCAGTTGAACTATTCTTTTAAATCTCTAATGTGCTAATTTACCACAAGGAGAGACCATGACTGGTTGCAGAAGCCTCTGCTCTCCAGCAGGGGGCATGTTGAGAGAGATTGCCAAGACTGTGCCCAAGGACGTGCCAACCCACAGACTAGGTGTAAGTCCGCCATCTGCTTTGCGGTTGTACGTCTCACAGAAATGGAAAGATGTGACGGCCTCTCGTGCTTCCTTGTCAATACTGGTCACACTGGAGCTCCGTGAGCGGCTGAAGGAGTTGTCCCTGTTGTCTAGGGGTATGGAACCCCGCGGGGGACATACAGAGAGTAGGACAGTAGAGAGAAAAACACAAAAAGGTAAAGCCCCCACTCCGAGATGACAACTGACAGATTAACATCATTACTTTTTCCATATCTGTGTAACAAAACAGCCCCTTGGCCTTGAGCAGAATTAGGATCTAAATAAATGTTTTGCCTTTGTGATTGTGGTTTATGCACAAGTTAAAACATTAAATATCCTTCAGTGGTGAGAAAATGACCTTTGATGTGGGAAATGAGGCAGTCTCTCCAATGTGATGGAGACAAATGGTATTCCCAGGATTGGGATGACCAGATGCCCTATTTTCCCGGAACACTTACATATTTTAGACCCTTTTACCCGACCCCATTTATTTGAAAATTGGCCCTACTAGAACGTATTCTAAAATAAATCTGCATCTGGACATGTTAAAGGGGTCTGAAAATGGGACTATTCTGGGAAAAACTAGACATCTGGTCATCCTATCCAAGATGTGTTCAGTCTGGAAATTAAAAACAAACAAATAAATAAATAAATAAAAATAATGGAAGAATGTGGCAAATGTAGTTTCCATTAATATAACATTATATCTACCTCACTGAAAAGATACATACCGTTCAAAATTCCGGTAAGATTTTCTAATGTTTTTGAAAATAAAAAATAAAAAAAATAAAAAATATATGTTTTCTATTTTAATATATTTTAAAATGTATTTCTGTGATGGCAGAGCTGCATTTTCAGCAGCCATTATGCCAGTCTTCAATGAGTTGCCAGTGAATGTATTGCTGTCCATTTGAAGTAAAGAGACTATATTATTTGTCTGTTTTAATATAGTACATAGAATAATACTTCCAGAAGCAATTAAGGACAATTATATTTGAAAAGAGACATGGTCATTGTATTGTATATTAATTGTATCGTCAACACAAGCCATTTATGCTTTAACCCCAATTAATTGATGCGTATGGTTATATTTCTTAATATTGTCAGTGCTAAAGAAAGTTGTGCTGCTTAATATTTTGTGGAAACTCTCATTATAGATGTATAGATGTAATTTTTGATCAATTAAATGCATCCTTGATGAAAAAAAAGAAGTAAAAAAATCAAATCAAATCAAATAAAATCACTGATCCCAAACTTTTGAACAATTGTGTACATTTAAAGCTTCCCTATTCAAAACAATTATCTGATATCCTGTCGAAGTTTATATATGGTAATAATATGTGAGGGGAAAATGATCTTCACATCAGCCCTACACATTTGATTTTCATTTAAAATCAGCCGATTCCAGAATGTACTCCTTGAGGGAATTCCCTTAAAAACACTCCTGCTGGAAACTGATGACAGAACTGAAATTGATACTGAATTAAATACCAGCAAATGCTGAACTGGCAAATGCTGACTTGTGTTATTCGGGATAAGAGTTAGGAAGACTGACAGAAGACCCTGACTACATGAAAGTAATGCAGTGGTTTTGGCCATGCTTATGTGTACCATTTACATATGGAGACAATCACAAGCCTTTTGATAAACCAATACAGTCATGACCCATATGTACCTGTATGTCAGGCCCAAGAATCAATACATAAGAAAATCTGAAGCTTCAGATGGAACTTTTCTGATAAACTATATTTCATATCTCATGTTTCAATGTCAGAAACTCAGTATAAACTCTGAAAGTGTGGGAATTCTGATGCCACCTTAGTCTTTGGCTAACTGACGTGAGATGTTCAAAGCGAGTGAGCATGTGGACTCTCCAGTTTCTGATAATGTGCTGATGGACTCCACATTCAAAAGCTGTGTAGCATGAACACAAAGTCAAGGCTTACCCAAGTCTGGCTTTAGCTCAGTAGGCAAGCTTAATTTCCGTGACATCTTTGCTGGAAAAAAGAGAACACCTCTCTTTACAAACACATTGAAGCTTCAGTAAAAGCCATGCAATGCTTGAACTAGTTGTGTTCGAGAAAACACCAAGGCAACATAGCTAAAGGGTTTTTTAATCATCCTGAGGGACACAAATGCTTCAAACAGGACAAAGGAGACACTGCAATATTTTTTAGAGAGTCAGAGACAAACTGCATAATGCTGCATGCTGGACAAACAGTTCTGGGATGTAAATGGGTGTAATTTGGCCACACAAAGCCCTGAAAGGAAAATAATTAACATCAGAACAGACAAAACAATCATTCTCAGCACCCCATGCCACAAGCATGCACCAAACAGGAGAATACAGAGTAGACATTACGGCTTATATGCATGATTTTGTACATTTTGTATCATTTGTATACCCTTGCTGCATAGGTATCTGTTGACTTATCGATTGTCTTTCATAAATAAATATATTGCTGGCAGATGAACGTGTGACCTTGTTTAACCTTAGCTGTTACATTATACATTTATTGTCCAGCAAAAATATCTAAACATTCTTAAAACAAGACAAATTTACTTAAGAAACAAAATTGCATAAAATCATCTTGTTTTTATTTTAATACTATTTTCTAATGTTCATTAGTTTTAGATTCATTTTTATTAGATTTATTTTACAAGGTTTATGTTTAGTGATTAACTGAATATTATTAACTAAATGTTAAATATAAACTAAATGTTAAATGTAATTATTGTACTACATAGATTTTATTATAATTTTTTAACACTACTAACCATGACCACTAAACATCCAATTTAATTTAAATTAAGCTTAAAATAAGACAAAACAAATATGTAATGTGGTAAGAAAAAATTTTAATATATATACACTCTTATATATATACATATATATATACACACACACACACTCTCTTAAAATAAGTCTTATCTAAGACAGTTTTGCTTCTCAAATATTTTTTTTTCCTCGAAGGAGGTTAAGATATTTTAAGTGGACAGCCAAAATAATCCCTAAAACAATTATTTAAAATTAAAGTTTTTTTTTTTTTGCAGTGTAATGAGCTCAGCAGTGATCAAATCATTAAGAAACCAACAAAACAAAACAAAACAGCCTTCACAGCTTGTCTATGTAAGAACAACTAAAGAAAACTAAATGGTCAATTACCCAAAACTATGTATTTGTTTCCTAATAGTACTCCACAAAAGCATTTATAAAGTGAATACCGCGGCTGGTTGCAATCCATCTAAATGAATGTGTATTTTTCTAAATCCTGTGCTGGGATGTACAGACAAAAAGTGACAGGAAGTACAGGAAGACAACAAACCGAAAAACCTTAATTCCTACTGACAGACAATTATAGGACGCAGCCACTGGTGTGTGGCAAAAGAGAAACGCCTCAAGCAAGTCACCACAAGCACATTTCACCATGTTACATAAGTGCTACATGAACGTAGCATGCAGTGGGAATTTCCGTCAGGGTTATTCAGGTAACTGTTTCTAAGGACAGCTGCTTCCTCTGTTTTGTTCATACATAAGAGACAGAGACAGTGTGGTTGAACAAAACCAGTGGAACCTCTTCTACACCGTCATCCAACCTTACCTCCTCTCCCTCCTCCATTGTAGAATTGCTGATGGTTTGACATGAAGACTTTTTGGGAGGAAGTAAAGCATATGAGTAATTAGAGATATTTTACGCTTTTTGGGAGCAACATACAGCGCAGGAGAGCCATAACGTGAAAGATTATGTATCGACCTGGGTTGTTTTGTTTGTTATGCGTTTGGTTTGGCTTTCTGTGGCAGTCGCAGTCATTTGTTCTGTATCTGCCCATGGTGTTACAGCAAGTGTATGCTGCTATTTGCACAATGATTACAGGGACCTTCTTTTCATATTTGATCAAACCACTTGCTGAGAGAACAGCTGCAGAGGTCTGTGCTTTAACTGAAGTTTAAGTCATTTTGGAAATACTTTCTCATTCTGTTCTGACCTTTCGGAGAAAATCTTATCTCTATTTTGAGATCTGCCCCGGTCTCCGAGTGTGAATGTCATGCTCTTTCTAGGAGTTTTTTAAGTTGTATTCGGCTTATCACGCCACCTTCAGCTGCGCTAAATGAACTAAAGAAAGAGAATGCAAATGCTTTAAGATTACCTTGTCCTATCTGTGTTTTAACCTTGAATATTTTTGCATTTTACATTTGCATTCTATCCACAAAAAAACAAAGCTAATTTGAATAATGATGGCAAAATAATGCCCTTTTTTCCCACCCCAGAGAAAGATGTGATATTAAGCAAAGGTTAAGAATCTGGAGAAGAAAAAAAAAAGGTCTCCCTGGGACAGTGTTATTTATATTTGCATAACATGAATTTCTATGTGACACATCTACGATTAAATATTCAGTTACACAATTCAGGGACAGTATCTGAAAGCAATCAATACCTCATTAACTGCAGTCTAAAAGCACTCTCAACTAAGAGCACTGTGTTTACAGTGCATTTACAAGCTTTGGTTGTCTAGTAAATTTAGATTTAATGTGTCCTTTCCGCCCACAAAAACAGCTGTCTTGCTCAGAGTCTAAGCAGCTGCTACATTTTCAACTCTTTTGCACATATAATTTCAGAAACCACTTCCTAACAATTCATCCAGTGCGGTCAGTACCAATCTGTATGACTGCTGTGGAAGTTTCTTTTAGCAAATGCTTTGATACAGAGACAGTTTTGCTGAAGGGCACAATGGTGCTGCTCCTCAGGTCATGGATCACCCCTTCAGGGGTCTGAACCTATGACTTGCTTCTAGCTCAGATGTTTAACCACTATTCTCCCACCAGGCGTGAGCACCTTGTCACAATGTCAGTCACAATTACCATTCATCTCACTGCCAGCCATCATCAGTCATCTGTGGCCTTCGTGAACTTCTCCTCCACAGACACACGCACAAAGTTTTATGATGTTACGTAAGGTGTGCCCTGTTAACACTGCCAATGATTTTCAGCAGAGGCTAGTTTAATACCGAGAGAATTACAAAATAAATGCACACAAGTGTATAATTGATTTTTGGTGTAATATGGATTAATTAGTAATGAATCTCAAAGGATTCACTCAAAAATCATTATGGACTCACCCTCATGTTGTTTTGTCAAAAAGAATAACAGTCTAATGTGTAAACATATAATTCAGGCTGGTTTTGTGAATTTGATTAATTAAATAAAAGAAAACTCATGAAGGGATGTCAAGATTTTCAGTAAATATTTTCAATGTTGATTTTTTAGCCCACACAAAACTACTGTAAGGCTTCAGAAGACCTGGGTCAGTAAGATTTCGAAATATTTTTTAATATTTAAAAAGATTATTAAATGTTTTTAAACAAGTCTTACCATGGCTGTATTTATTTGATCAAAATAAAACAGTAATATTGTGAAATATTATTAAAATGTAAAATAACTGTTTTCTATTTTAATATATTTTATATACATATATATATACACACACACACACTCTCTTAAAATAAGTCTTATCTAAGACAGTTTTGCTTCTCAAATATTTTTTTTTCCTCGAAGGAGGTTAAGATATTTTAAGTGGACAGCCAAAATAATCCCTAAAACAATTATTTAAAATTAAAGTTTTTTTTTTTTTGCAGTGTAATGAGCTCAGCAGTGATCAAATCATTAAGAAACCAACAAAACAAAACAAAACAGCCTTCACAGCTTGTCTATGTAAGAACAACTAAAGAAAACTAAATGGTCAATTACCCAAAACTATGTATTTGTTTCCTAATAGTACTCCACAAAAGCATTTATAAAGTGAATACCGCGGCTGGTTGCAATCCATCTAAATGAATGTGTATTTTTCTAAATCCTGTGCTGGGATGTACAGACAAAAAGTGACAGGAAGTACAGGAAGACAACAAACCGAAAAACCTTAATTCCTACTGACAGACAATTATAGGACGCAGCCACTGGTGTGTGGCAAAAGAGAAACGCCTCAAGCAAGTCACCACAAGCACATTTCACCATGTTACATAAGTGCTACATGAACGTAGCATGCAGTGGGAATTTCCGTCAGGGTTATTCAGGTAACTGTTTCTAAGGACAGCTGCTTCCTCTGTTTTGTTCATACATAAGAGACAGAGACAGTGTGGTTGAACAAAACCAGTGGAACCTCTTCTACACCGTCATCCAACCTTACCTCCTCTCCCTCCTCCATTGTAGAATTGCTGATGGTTTGACATGAAGACTTTTTGGGAGGAAGTAAAGCATATGAGTAATTAGAGATATTTTACGCTTTTTGGGAGCAACATACAGCGCAGGAGAGCCATAACGTGAAAGATTATGTATCGACCTGGGTTGTTTTGTTTGTTATGCGTTTGGTTTGGCTTTCTGTGGCAGTCGCAGTCATTTGTTCTGTATCTGCCCATGGTGTTACAGCAAGTGTATGCTGCTATTTGCACAATGATTACAGGGACCTTCTTTTCATATTTGATCAAACCACTTGCTGAGAGAACAGCTGCAGAGGTCTGTGCTTTAACTGAAGTTTAAGTCATTTTGGAAATACTTTCTCATTCTGTTCTGACCTTTCGGAGAAAATCTTATCTCTATTTTGAGATCTGCCCTTTGTCACGCTCTTTGTAGAAGGAGTTTTTTAGGTTGTATTTGGCTTCTCACGCCACCTTCAGCTGCGCTAAATGAACTAAAGAAAAAGAATACAAATGCTTTAAGATTACCTTGTCCTATCTGTGTTTTAACCTTGAATATTTTTGCATTTTACATTTGCATTCTATCCACAAAAAAACAAAGCTAATTTGAATAATGATGGCAAAATAATGCCCTTTTTTCCCACCCCAGAGAAAGATGTGATATTAAGCAAAGGTTAAGAATCTGGAGAAGAAAAAAAAAAGGTCTCCCTGGGACAGTGTTATTTATATTTGCATAACATGAATTTCTATGTGACACATCTACGATTAAATATTCAGTTACACAATTCAGGGACAGTATCTGAAAGCAATCAATACCTCATTAACTGCAGTCTAAAAGCACTCTCAACTAAGAGCACTGTGTTTACAGTGCATTTACAAGCTTTGGTTGTCTAGTAAATTTAGATTTAATGTGTCCTTTCCGCCCACAAAAACAGCTGTCTTGCTCAGAGTCTAAGCAGCTGCTACATTTTCAACTCTTTTGCACATATAATTTCAGAAACCACTTCCTAACAATTCATCCAGTGCGGTCAGTACCAATCTGTATGACTGCTGTGGAAGTTTCTTTTAGCAAATGCTTTGATACAGAGACAGTTTTGCTGAAGGGCACAATGGTGCTGCTCCTCAGGTCATGGATCACCCCTTCAGGGGTCTGAACCTATGACTTGCTTCTAGCTCAGATGTTTAACCACTATTCTCCCACCAGGCGTGAGCACCTTGTCACAATGTCAGTCACAATTACCATTCATCTCACTGCCAGCCATCATCAGTCATCTGTGGCCTTCGTGAACTTCTCCTCCACAGACACACGCACAAAGTTTTATGATGTTACGTAAGGTGTGCCCTGTTAACACTGCCAATGATTTTCAGCAGAGGCTAGTTTAATACCGAGAGAATTACAAAATAAATGCACACAAGTGTATAATTGATTTTTGGTGTAATATGGATTAATTAGTAATGAATCTCAAAGGATTCACTCAAAAATCATTATGGACTCACCCTCATGTTGTTTTGTCAAAAAGAATAACAGTCTAATGTGTAAACATATAATTCAGGCTGGTTTTGTGAATTTGATTAATTAAATAAAAGAAAACTCATGAAGGGATGTCAAGATTTTCAGTAAATATTTTCAATGTTGATTTTTTAGCCCACACAAAACTACTGTAAGGCTTCAGAAGACCTGGGTCAGTAAGATTTCGAAATATTTTTTAATATTTAAAAAGATTATTAAATGTTTTTAAACAAGTCTTACCATGGCTGTATTTATTTGATCAAAATAAAACAGTAATATTGTGAAATATTATTAAAATGTAAAATAACTGTTTTCTATTTTAATATATTTTAAAAATGCAATTAATCATGTGATGGCAAAGCTGAATTTTCAGCAGCCATTACTTCAGTTTTCAATGTCACATGACCCTTTAGAAATCATTCTAACATGATGATTTGATGCTAAAGTAAAATTTCTTCTTATTATTAATGTTTAAAAAATATAAATCTTTTCTAACAATGTAAAAGTCTTTACTGTCACTTTTGATAAAATTAATGCATCCTTGCTGAATACAAATATTAATTCTTACTGACCCCAGACTTTTAAACAGCAGTGTACAGTTGTAGTCCTTTTCCAAGAAGAAATTAAGTCAATAGAGCTCTGGAACAACATGAAAATTAGTAAATAATGACAGATTTTAGGTGAACTATCCCTTTAGTCCTGAACAGAGTAGTGTTGTCAAAAGTACCGATGTTGGTACCAGTCGGTACTGAAATTTTAAAAATGTGACAATACCAGCATTTCCTGCTAGCATTTTGAGCTTTGTTGTGTGGATTCTCAAACATCTCTGATTGGCCATTGTGTTCACGCACTCAACATATATGTCTGTGATTGGCTACAATGATCATTGCTTCACGCTCTTCACCGAGCGCTTACACAGATACACACAGGAGCATTTCAAAGCCGTGTCTATCAGCGGATCCCTAATATATCTGCTCATAGACGGATCCGATTTGATCATTGTAGCCAATCACAGACATATCTGTTGAACACAATGGCCAATCAGAGCTGTTTAAGAATCCGCTCAACAGTGTTCAAAATGCTAGCGGAAAAAGCTGCCATTGTCACATTTTTTAAATTTCAGTACCGAATGGTACCGACATCAGTAATTTTGACAGCACTAGAACAGAGGATTCGACTGAACCGCTCTCCAGTGTCATCGGTATGATGGTGGTAGGAGGCTATGGATAATATGGATTGTGGCATGCTTTGAGGGGCGAGGGGCGTGAGGTGGGGGATTTGCAGCGATCCTCTGAGGTGGCAGAGCCCTCGCTAATGTCACAAAGCCCTGTAGAGAGAAAGAGAAACTATGTCACTATGGAAAATGTGTTAAGTGTGCCAGTGTGCTGTTACCTTGTGAAAAAGTAGTCTAAGATGTATTTTAGTAGACAGGACAATTGACTATACTCTTTAGTGTGAGGTGCAGTGTGTAGCCCTTGTTCTGATCTCAGAGTTGAGAGGCAGATGGGCAGACAGGAGCTGAACCCAGCTGCTCTGATCAGCACTCTCCCTGTGCGCATATCCGACAGATCCCAGCCCCCCACTAAATATCACTCATTACCCCCGACACAAACACACACGTACACACTAGATAATCTTACAACCAGTCCATAGCCTGATAGCCAAGTCCCAGCAATCATCTCTAGAGCCCTGCATTTCAGCCCGGGCCCGACAGGTCCCGACTTTTTTACGCCCCTCGGGCCGGGCTTCGGGCCAATTTTCACGTCATAGTTCAGACGCGGGCCGGGC